ATCTAGAACCAAAACACCAAATGAAACACAAATGAGCAGGTCCAATGTTCTAGAGTACGATTCCTTCAACTGAGTTTTTCCCCTCGAAGTGTCGATGACGATGACGATCTGTGAACTTCAGGTTCATGTTTTTCTGTGTAAATGTGTGTTTGTGTGTGTGTGTTTTGTGTTTGTGTGTGTGTGTGTGTTTGTGTTTGTGTGTGTGTGTGTGTGTGAGACGGGCTCTGATCAGTGTGTTCTTGTTCTCAGATCTGCAGTGACCTGAGCAGGTGGACTGTGGTGCGTTCTTCCTCAGCTCCGCTTAGGGACCACATCTCCTTCATCATCGAGGCCACGCCGCAGCCCACGACGCCGCGGCCCACGACGCCGCGGCCCACGACGCCGCGGCCCACGACGCCACGCCACAAGGCCGGTACTTCAAACTCAGACAAAACTTTAGGACACAGTGAAGGTTCATGATTTATCTCAAACATCCATAAACTTATTTCCAGCCCTTGAACACTGACCACAGACGCTTCATTCTAATCTAGAGTTTATTTATTTTAAGAAAACTTGTCCAGTAAAATGATCTTGTTGCATGTACAGATCATTTCATTAATTTAGAATGTGTCCACACTCAGAGGCTCCACCACGTCTGCCTGAAACGCAGTGTTAGTAAATGTCCACATGGGGGCGCTACAGCCAACTTTATTTACTGATGGAGCTGCCTGCTCTTTATTCAAATCCAAATCCACTTTATTTCTACAGCACATTTTACAAAAGTGCTGCACAGAGATCAGAAAATGAAGACAACAAAAAGGTAAATTGCTAAAATTTGGTCACAGCAGCCGTAAAACAATAAAACCAGTAAAAGCAAATAAAAAGCAAAACCATAAAAATCATAAAATAGCAGTAAATAGTAAAAATAAATAAAAGACACAGAGGAGCACACGACTCAGACGGTGTTAAACCACAGAGTAAAAGTGTGTGTTAAACTCTCTGTCTCTGTGGGGCTGTTGGGACGACGGGGGAAGAGCGTCCAGAGTTTGGGGTCGGTCACAGAGAAGATCCTGTCCTCCTGGTTTAAGTCACATCTTAGGCCCCACGAGCTGGAGCTGGACCTCAGAGCTGGACCTCAGAGCTGGACCTCAGAGCTGGACCTCAGAGCTGGACCTCAGAGCTGGACCTGGACCTCAGAGCTGGACCTGTACCTCAGAGCTGGACCTCAGATCTGGATCTGGACCTCAGAGCTGGACCTCAGATCTGGATCTGGACCTCAGAGCTGGACCTCAGATCTGGATCTGGACCTCAGAGCTGGACCTCGGACCTCGGACCTCAGAGCACAGGGGAGTAAAACTGGAGGAGGTCCGAGACGTAACATGGAGCCAGAACATTCAAAGGTTTAAAAACAAACAGCAAAATAATAAAATCAACTCTAAATCGAACTGGAAACTAAAGCAACGACGCTGAAATCGGGGAATGTGCTCACGTTTTTTGGTTCCAGTTCAAAAGGAGACGTGTATGTGACAAACGTCTGTGTTTACAGTGTGAGAGATTTCCACAAAAATGGAACAGTCCCTCCTCTCCTCTCGTCCTCCTCCTCTCTGACCTGTGACCTCTGACCTGTGTGTGTAGGTGCTGGGCTGGTCCGAGCTGTGCGTCCCTTTGGCCCGGTGCCCTTTGACCCCGGGTCGACCGTTCCGGGCTCTGGCTCAGGCGTCGCTGGAGGACTTCAGCCGTCTGGGCGTGGCCTTCATCGAGGACCGACTTCACCTGGACGAGAACCTGTGTCCCTCCAGGATCATCCGTACGTCCTTCTCCTCTCATCCTTCAGTATCCAACAGTATCTAACCCCGACCCTGACCCCAACCCTGACCCCGACCCTGACCCTGACCCTGACCCCCCGACCCTGACCCCGACCCTGACCCCCCAACCCTGACCCCGACCCTGACCCGACCCGACCCCCCCTGACCCTGACCCCGACCCCTGACCCCTGACCCAACCCCTACCCCAACCCCGACCCCGACCCTGACCCCCCTGACCCTGACCCCAACCCTGACCCCAACCCTGACCCCGACCCTGACCCCAACCCTCTTCTTTCAGTATCCAACCTCTTTTCTGGGATCAAGATTCATCCTGGGAATTTTTTCGTTGTAGTGGGGATTTTTCTTAATTTGTGTGTATGTCACAGCATGTGTGTCGCAGTGTTTACGTGTTTGAAGAGACTTAAAAAACATTTCTCGTCTTGTTGTGTTCGTTGTTCATCCTGTTGTTTGTTTCTCTCGTCCTGTTGTTGTTTCTGTTTGTTCGTCCTGTTGTGTTTGTTTCTCATCCTGTTGTGTTTGTTTCTCGTCCTGTTGTGTTCGTTGTTCGTCCTGTTGTGTTTGTTTCTCGTCCTGTTGTGTTTGTTTCTCATCCTGTTGTGTTTGTTTCTCGTCCTGTTGTGTTTGTTTCTCGTCCTGTTGTGTTCGTTGTTCGTCCTGTTGTGTTCGTTGTTCGTCCTGTTGTGTTTGTTTCTCGTCCTGTTGTGTTTGTTTCTCGTCCTGTTGTGTTCGTTGTTCGTCCTGTTGTGTTTGTTTCTCGTCCTGTTGTGTTTGTTTCTCGTCCTGTTGTGTTCATTTTTCCTGTTGTGTTCTTTTCTCGTCCTCAGCTGTTCTTCTGGAGGAGTCTGCGGTCCGAGCGCTGTTGGAGAAGCCCCCCGCCCTCCCCTCGCTCCTGCACCTGTCTGTGGACGAAGGCCCTGTCGTCTATCGCAAGGGCAGCCTGCACCTGCCGCCGGAGCACCCGGCTTCCAAGCGTCCGCCACGCCTGGACGAGCGCCGCGCGTCCGAGCCCCTCCACGTCGCCCCCGACCCGGGTCTCCTGTGCGACCCCGGCAGCCAGCAGCACATGGAGGAGCACGGGCACCACCTGCACCTGTCCAGCTGCCACGAGTGTCTGGAGCTGGAGAACAGCACCATCCTGTCGGTGAAGTACGCGTCCGTGGAGAACCTCCCGGAGCTTCCAGACGACGGCGCCGCGCTCAACGGAGCCGAGGACAATCTAGAGGATGACTTCTCCAACGCCGGCGTCGACATCGGCTCCAAACCGCCCAACATCCTGGTCTACACCGGAACGAGCCAAGAACGTTTTCAGATCATTCAAAAAGTTTTATCAAAGTGCATCAATATGAACAAGTACATGATTTACCAGCTGACGCCCGCGCAGGCCCTGGGCGACCCCTGGCTGGACAACTGTCGACTGCTGGTGGTCGCGGAGGAGGAGGAGGCGCTCTCTGCTCATCTCCAAACCCGCTTCCTGACCTACCTGAGCGGGGGGGGCAGGGTGCTGGGGCTGGCCTCACGTCTGTGCCCCGCCGGCGTCTCCCTGGGGCGTCTGGAGGGCGAGGGGAGGGTGGACACTCTGAGCTTCACCCGCGAGGACAGCAGCACCGTGCAGCTCCGCGTGCACGCCAGCGGGCACGCGTTCACCCGGGACGCACGGGGAGGGGGCGAGGTGGAGCTGTGGGGGGAGCTGAGCGGGGGGCACATGGTCATCGTCAGAGTCACGCACGGAGACGACGGGGGCGAGGCCGTGCTCTGTCAGGTGAGGCTCCGTCCTGCGCTCGTTCTGAGTTTCACCGCACCTGGTTTCAGACGACGGCAGAACATCCCACAGGCCTGTCGTATTTAAACATATTTAATCATATTTAATTGTATTTAAACATATTTAATCATATTTAATACAGAGGCAGGTAAATGAAGATTGTTCTGGCTTGAGTCATTAGGAACCTAACGATTTTGGAGACGCTAACAGGGTCTGTGTCTCATTTGTTCTTTTGAATTTCAATTAAGAAAGAAAAAGAATCAAATGGGAAAACAGTTTTCTTATTTTGTTTTTCATTTTTAGTGTCAGACAAATACAGATTTCGACCTCTATTTCCAATATTTAATTTGGTTTATTTCAAATAACTCCAATCAAAAAACAGTCTCGGTGCATATTTCAATTTTGATATTTTATTCTCTCTGGTTTATTTGTTTTATTTTTATTTATTTATTCAGTATTTTACCAGGTAAATTACAGTTAGGGCTGGAACACCTTCTCATTTGTTAAAAGTGTGCAATGATCCTGCAAAATACCCTGGATGAAGTCGACAGGTAAAAATGAACTATGTTGAAGGTGGTTCCAGTCACAGCTGTAGAACTGAAATGAGGAGCTTCAGGAAGGACCAGGGTCACGTGTCTGTGGAGCTCAGTGCGGCTCGAGCTGTGAATGTGCAGGACTGAGCTGAGTTAGGGTTTAGTTAGTTTGGTTAGTTTTAGTCTTATTAGCATAATCATTCAGCCTAACTAACAGAGACTGTTCGTAGGTTCACCTGGAGGAGCCTGCAGGTCTGGAGCAGGTCACAGATGGAGAGGAGCTTCATCTGAAGCAGGTCACAGATGGAGAGGAGCTTCGTCTGGAGCAGGTCACAGATGGAGAGGAGCTTCGTCTGGAGCAGGTCACAGATGGAGAGGAGCTTCGTCTGGAGCAGGTCACAGATGGAGAGGAGCTTCGTCTGGAGGTCCTGGAGGAGATCCTGAGGTCTCTGGGCGTGAGCTGTGAGCCCGGCGTGGCCCCCTCCCCCACCCCCGTGCACCTGCTGTCCACGTCCACGGTACACGTCCTGTCACAGTAGCACAATAATGAACATAAATACAACAAAAATACAGTATTATTAAAAGTCCTGAGCTGCAACAAATGAATAAAATGGAGCAATAATTAGTCTATTACATAAAAATGTCTAAAATCTTAATTTTAAATCTCAATTTTGCAAAGAGAAAGTGCCCTGGATTGTTATTGAGAACTAAAATACACAGTTGTAGCTTTCATATATTGAACCATAAATTGATTCTGGTGACACGCCTGTACCAGTGTGAACGACACCCGTGTTTTTCATCTTTATGCTTATTCACATTCCTGCATTTCCATGGGGGTTATTACATTTGGATTTGGACATTTGGACTCAAATAAACCTGAAAATAAAAAGAGCAAAGGCTGCACAATTACACAGACCAAGATGTGTAATTTTCCATTTATTTGAGAAATTTCTGCACTTAGAGCAACTTTTTCACTTGTTCTGAACACAGACGCTCAGAGCATCGACCGTTTTGACTCTTTACGCTCTTTGTCAAAGTTTGGACCAATCAAAATGGACGGAGCACAGGAGTTTGGACCAAAACAAAGTTCCTGTTGGACACTCGTTTTCCCGACGTCGTCACAGAGCGTGAAATGGAGGAGAACGACGGAAATATGCTCGGAAAGCTTTTTAAGGGAAAAAAAAGTGTATCTTTTATGGTTGTAAAGTTCTGTGCAGTTTTATGAAACATTTTCCCAGGTATCGTGTACGAGACCGTCGGGCTGGAAGGGTTAAAGACATTTTATTTACTATTTAGATTATGGAGATTTATATGTACAAGAACTGAAAGAAAAAACATGAGTTACTCAGCGAGTGAGTTACAGATTTTGGGAATTCATTTTTACATAAACATACAGTTTTTTAGTAGTTTTGTGTTTCTCAGGCTGACGCCCACGCTGTGGTCAGGAAACAGGTCTGATGTATGTTAATGTACGAAAATATGTGAGTGGAGCAGAACGCCGGGTGGTCAGGGCACAGGGCGGTCAGGGCACAGGGCGGTCAGGGCACAGGGCGGTCAGGGCAGGGGGTGGTCAGGGCAGCAGGCGGTCAGGACACAGGGCGGTCAGGACACGGGGCGGTCAGGACACGGGGCGGTCAGGACACGGGGCGGTCAGGACACGGGGCGGTCAGGACACGGGGCGGTCAGGGCACGGGGCGGTCAGGGCACGGGGCGGTCAGGGCACGGGGCGGTCAGGGCACGGGGCGGTCAGGACACGGGGCGGTCAGGACACGGGGCGGTCAGGGCACGGGGCGGTCAGGACACGGGGCGGTCAGGGCACAGGGCGGTCAGGGCACAGGGCGGTCAGGACACAGGGCGGTCAGGGCAGCGGGCGATCAGGGCACAGGGCGGTCAGGACACAGGGCGGTCAGGGCAGCGGGCGATCAGGGCGTCACAGGCTGGGCCCCTCACCCACAGACCCACAGACTCTTACACTCCTGAGTGAACACAAACGAGAACTAATATCAGCTTTAAAAGAGCTTGTGATTTCTGTCCATAAATTTGAGCAAAATTCAATCTTCAGATGTTTGTTGCTCTTAAAAGTCCATATCAGACAAACTGACCCTGAGCTTCAAGTCAGGCTCTAATGTTCTAATGTTCTAGTGTTCCTGGTCACACACAAATCTTACCACATGATGACATCACAAGGTGTAATAGAGTATTTTCAGTTTGAGAGAAGAACTCTGAAGTAAATGTGTGTTTGTGTGTCCACAGGAAGCCAGGAGTCAGTTTGTGCAGTGTTTGAGGAGTCGTGCAGGTGACGGGGGCCTTCTGCGTCTCCCTAAAGTCTCCCTCAGATTGGTGTCTTGCTCAGAGGCAGAGGCGGACTCGAGCCCTTTGGAGGGCCCGGTGCCGCTGGTGTGGGACAGCCCCGGGGCCCCGTGCCCAGAGCACTTCAGTCTGCAGACGTACGAGTCCCACCTGAGGAGCAGGAGCCTGGGCAGAACTCTGCTGTACGCCGAGGTGGTGTCCTCCACCATGGACCTGCTGGACGGGTCAGTGCCCAACCCTAAACCCTAAACCCCCAACCCTAACCCCAACCCTAAACCCCAAACCCCAACCCTAAACCCCAAACCCCAACCCTAAACCCCAAACCCCAACCCTAACCCCCAGTAGGTGAATATAAAACCGTCTGATCTGAAGTGTTGGAGCTGATGTGAAAAAACACAATCTGCACTTTCACACTTTACTTTGTTCTGGTTTAGTCCTGGTTTGGACCTGGGTTAGAGGACAGAGGAGAACAGAGGAGGACAGGAGGAGGACAGGAAGAGGACAGGAGGAGGAGGACAGGAGGAGGAGGACAGGAGGAGGACAGGAGGACAGGAGGAGGACAGGAGGAGGACAGGAGGAGGAGGACAGGAGGAGGACAGGAGGAGGAGGAGGACAGGAGGAGGACAGGAAGGAGGACAGGAGGAGGACAGGAGGAGGACAGGAGGAGGACAGGAGGAGGACGGAGGACAGGAGGAGGACAGGAGGACAGGAGGAGGACAGGAGAGGACAGGAGGACAGGAGGAGGACAGAGGACAGGAGGAGGACAGGAGGAGGACGGAGGACAGGAGGAGGACAGGAGGAGGACAGGAGGAGGACAGGAGGAGGACAGAGGACAGGAGGAGGACAGAGGACAGGAGGAGGACAGGAGGACAGGAGGAGGAGGACAGGAGGAGGACAGGAGGACAGGAGGAGGAGGACAGGAGGAGGACAGAGGACAGGAGGACAGGAGGAGGACAGAGGACAGGAGGAGGAGGACAGGAGGACAGGAGGAGGAGGACAGGAGGAGGACAGAGGACAGGAGGAGGACAGGAGGAGGACAGGAGGAGGAGGACAGGAGGACAGGAGGAGGACAGGAGGAGGAGGACAGAGGACAGGAGGAGGACAGGAGGAGGAGGACAGGAGGACAGGAGGAGGACAGGAGGAGGACAGGAGGAGGAGGAGGACAGGAGGAGGACAGGAGGAGGACAGGAGGAGGACAGAGGACAGGAGGAGGACAGGAGGAGGACAGGAGGACAGGAGGAGGACAGAGGACAGGAGGAGGACAGAGGACAGGAGGAGGACAGAGGAGGACAGGAGGAGGACAGGAGGAGGACAGAGGACAGGAGGAGGAGGACAGGAGGAGGACAGGAGGAGGACAGTTCTTTCCTCTGTCTCGTGTGTCTCTGACTCTGATCTGCTCCTCAGGTTGAACCTGTTGGTCTCTGGAGACGTGGGTCTGGTGGCAGTGGCAGCTCGACAGAGCCAGGGCAGAGGTGAGTGTCTGAGGGGGCATCTTAGGCACTGCCCTTGACAGTAAAGTGAGTCTGACTCTCTATGCCCTCTGTGCCCTCTGTGTCCTCTCTGTGCCCTCTCTGTGCCCTGTCTGTGCCCTCTCTGTGCCCTCTCTGTGCCCTCTCTGTGCCCTGTCTGTGCCCTCTGTGCCCTCTGTGTCCTCTGTGTCCTCTCTGTGTCCTCTCTGTGCCCTCTCTGTGCCCTGTCTGTGCCCTCTCTGTGCCCTCTCTGTGCCCTCTCTGTGCCCTGTCTGTGCCCTCTGTGCCCTCTGTGTCCTCTGTGTCCTCTGTGCCCTCTGTGCCCTCTGTGCCCTGTCTGTGCCCTCTCTGTGCCCTCTCTGTGCCCTGTCTGTGCCCTCTGTGCCCTCTGTGTCCTCTGTGTCCTCTGTGCCCTCTGTGCCCTGTCTGTGCCCTCTCTGTGCCCTCTCTGTGCCCTGTCTGTGCCCTCTGTGCCCTCTGTGTCCTCTGTGTCCTCTCTGTGCCCTCTCTGTGCCCTCTCTGTGCCCTCTGTGCCCTCTGTGTCCTCTGTGTCCTCTGTGTCCTCTCTGTGTCCTCTGTGTCCTCTCTGTGTCCTCTCTGTGCCCTGTCTGTGCCCTCTCTGTGCCCTCTGTGTCCTCTCTGTGCCCATAGGCCGCAGCAGGAACGGTTGGCTGAGTCCTGTGGGCTGTGCCATGTTCACCGTCTGCCTGCAGGTGGAGCTGTCGTCTCGCCTGGGCCAGAAGATTCCGTTCCTGCAGCACCTGGCGGCCCTGGCGGTGGTGCAGGCGGTGCGCACGCTTCCGGGTTATGAGGTAACCCTGAAACCCTGAAACCCCGAAACCCCGAAACCCCGAAACCCTGAAACCCCGAAACCCCGAAACCCGAAACCCCGAAACCCCGAAACCCCGAAACCCCGAAACCCCGAAACCCGAAACCCTGAAAACCCGAAACCCCGAAACCCGAAACCCTGAAACCCTGAAACCCGAAACCCGAAACCCCGAAACCCTGAAACCCCGAAACCCCGAAAACCCTGAAACCCTGAAACCCTGAATACCCTGATACCCTGATACCCTGAAACCCTGAAACCCTAAAACTGTAAAACCCTGAAACCCTGAAACCCTGAAACCCTAAAACTCTAAAACTGTAAAACCCTGAAACCCTGAAATCCTGAAATCCTGAAACCGTAAAACCTTGAAACCGTAAAGCCCTAACCTAATCCTAAACTTGAGGGTTATATATTGTTTATACACATTTATATAGTTTTATAGGTTATATATTGTTTATACACATTTATATAGTTTTATAGGTTATATATTGTTTATACACATTTATATAGTTTTATAGGTTATATATTGTTTATACACATTTATATAGTTTTATAGGTTATATATTGTTTATACACATTTATATAGTTTTATAGGTTATATATTGTTTATACACATTTATATAGTTTTATAGGTTATATATTGTTTATACACATTTATATAGTTTTATAGGTTATATATTGTTTCTGCACGGTTAAAGCGGCGCTTCTTTGTGCAGGATCTGGATCTGAGGGTGAAGTGGCCCAACGACATTTATCACGGTGACGGTCTGAAGTTGGGCGGAGTCCTGGTCACCTCCACTGTCCTGGGCTCCACCTTCCACCTGCTCGTAGGTACGGCGCTCACCACCGCCCCCTGTGGAGACGACAAGCATGACATTTCACTAAAACACGGTTAAACTAATTATATTGTAATTATAATGTAATTATAACGAAGCGAACGAGGAAAAGCGACTTTTCTTTATTTTCTTGAAATGTTTTTTCTGAGACTGAAGTGGGTTAAATGAAGTCTTAATTCTTCCTGCTTCAGTTTGAGCGTCAGTCTTCTTTGAGTCGAGATGTGTTCGTGTCTGTGCCACTTTCTGATTGTTGAAATAAAGACTTTAACATTCTCCAAAGCTCCAAAGGTCAGAACTCAGGTCAGGTTCTATTCACGATCTCGTCCCAAACCAGGACGACGTTTGGAAACACGCGGTGAAACTTCAGTGTGTTTACGACTCTGAGCTCGACTGAGATGAAACCCACAGAAGAAAAACTGTTCAGCGGGAAAATGAAGCAGACGAACGAGCCGTTTGAATCACCTCGTCTCTTCTACTCACACACACCACGAGGAGTGTGTGTCTGTTGTGTGTCAGTTGTGTGTCAGTTGTTTGTCTGTTGTGTGTCAGAGTTGTGTGTAAGTTGTGTGTCAGTTGTGCGTTCAGAGTTGTGTGTCAGTTGTGCGTTCAGAGTTGTGTGTCAGTTGTGAGTTCAGAGTTGCGTGTCAGTTGTGAGTTCAGAGTTGTGTGTCAGTTGTGTGTCAGTTGTGAGTTCAGAGTTGTGTGTCAGTTGTGTGTCAGTTGTGCGTTCAGAGTTGTGTGTCAGTTGTGCGTTCAGAGTTGTGTGTCAGTTGTGTGTCAGTTGTGTGTCAGTTGTGTGTCAGTTGTGCGTTCAGAGTTTTGTGTCAGTTGTGTGTCAGTTGTGAGTTCAGAGTTGTGTGTCAGTTTTGTGTCAGTTGTGTGTCAGTTGTGCGTTCAGAGTTGTGATGGTTGGAGTTGTTGATGAGCTGAACGTACCGGACGTTTGGCCGTGTGTTTCCAGTCGTCGTCGTCGTCTTGGTTTGTAGCGTCGGCGTGAACAGAGTCGACTTCTGGAGTTTGGGACGTTAAAAGTCTCTGCTGATCTTTACATCAACATTGATTTAAACGGCTCATGTTTCGCTCTTGGCTCAGTGTCAGTGTCACTTCCTGTTCACTTTTATCTCTGTGGTTTTGGCTGAGTTGCTAAAATTAAGAAATGTTTAAAGATGAGGCCGTGCACAGGATCTGTGGGCGGATGTCACTGAAAACATGTTCAAAAGTGCAAATAAAATGAAGAGTTGAACAGAGATACTTGTGTTTAGAAACAGCAAGGTTTGTGTCACAATATTAACTCTAAAACTAAAACTGAGGCAGAACAAATATTCTACAAGTGTTTTACAAATACAAACATAGTGAAGTCTTTATTCTAATTCATTTAAATTCAGTTGTTTATTTTAAGGTTTATGATTTAAATAAAAGTGACTGAGGTTTGGGACACAGTGACTGACACTCCTCTGTTCTACTGTAGTTTACACAGAGACTCCATGTCCCATAATCCTCTGTTCTACTGTAGTTTACACAGAGACTCCATGTCCCATAATCCTCTGTTCTACTGTAGTTTACACAGAGACTCCATGTCCCATAATCCTCTGTTCTACTGTAGTTTACACAGAGACTCCATGTCCCATAATCCTCTGTTCTACTGTAGTTTACACTGAGACTCCATGTCCCATAATCCTCTGTTCTACTGTAGTTTACACAGAGACTCCATGTCCCATAATCCTCTGTTCTACTGTAGTTTACACAGAGACTCCATGTCCCATAATCCTCTGTTCTACTGTAGTTTACACAGAGACTCCATGTCCCATAATCCTCTGTTCTACTGTAGTTTACACTGAGACTCCATGCCCCATAATCCTCTGTTCTACTGTAGTTTATACTGAGACTCCATGCCCCATAATCCTCTGTTCTACTGTAGTTTACACTGAGACTCCATGCCCCATAATCCTCTGTTCTACTGTAGTTTACACTGAGACTCCATGTCCCATAATCCTCTGTTCTACTGTAGTTTACACTGAGACTCCATGCCCCATAATCCTCTGTTCTACTGTAGTTTACACTGAGACTCCATGTCCCATAATCCTCTGTTCTACTGTAGTTTATACTGAGACTCCATGTCCCATAATCCTCTGTTCTACTGTAGTTTACACTGAGACTCCATGTCCCATAATCCTCTGTTCTGTTCTGATGTAGTTTCCTGGTCACAGACCTGGACTCGTGTTTTGTTTCATTCACATGTTTAACTCACAAACCTGCACATTTAACACGAGCTCTTCTCTCAAACTGAAAACACTCTGTTCCACCTCGTGATGTCATCGTGTGGTGATGCAGGAAGTGCTCCACTGTGTTTTTAAACTCCACACACCTTCACTAGAATCATTTGGATCATTTACTGAACTAAAGGGAAAAGGAGCTGAGCACTTCATGACGTCACGAGGTGGAACAGAGCGTTTGGATCTTTGGAGATGTAACAGACTCAGGACAAAGATTTAGTCAAACAAACACAACTCCAGCTCTGAGTGTGAGGAGGAAACACCATTAGAACATGACATAAAGCTCATAAGAGTAAATTTAGCATAATTTACTTAAAGTAAAGTTGTAAAACATGAAACCCCAGAGTACAGGAGTCCAAAGACGGCCCACCTCACATGTTCTCGTCCCGACTGTGTCCTTCAGGATGTGGCTTCAACGTGAGCAACAGCAGCCCCACCGTCTGCATCAACGACCTGATCCAGAAGCACAACCAGGAGCACGGAGGCGGCCTGCAGCCCCTGACCTGCGCTCAGCTCATCGCACGCTCCCTCAGCCTCCTGGAGGACCTCATCAGCCTCTTCCAGAGAGAAGGTCCAGACGCCGTCCTGCCTACGTACTACAGCCGCTGGCTCCATAGGTCAGACCTGTGCTTCACAATAAGCTTCTGTCACGCCCCCATTAAGAAGAAGAAAACATTTGGTGCCCCTCCACTCTCTGCCGCGACAGAGTCATTTGTGTTCACAAAGCGGGTGATTGTTGGTCATATTTGACACGTTTCTGCTGAAAAACTCAAGAGTTTTATCAGTGTGATTGGGCTGTAATGTCTTTAAGCGACGCCTTAGTTTCTTTGTCTTCATGCTGTCAGCTGCCAACATTTTTAGACACAGTAAACACATCGGTCTTTCCTCGTTTCCCGCCGTAGTCACAGTGAAGCCGAGCGCGACATACGCTTCGTCATATTTCCTCGTTTGTTTCATTATCTCTGTCTTCCTCCACCTTTCTTTTCATCCCTGTTCAGTATTTTTCCATGGCGTCTCTGGAGGGTTTGTTCTCCTGCTCTGTGCTGTGTGCGGACGCTCGGCCCAAAAACCCCACACTATACTGCCACCTACTGTAGTGGATGTGCAATTACACTTTATTCTAGTATGGCAAAACTGCATGTTCCCCGAGGTCACATGTGCCCCCCTAGGCATCGCACCGCGCCCCTAACCCCACTATCTGCCCCACTATCTGCGACGGACTGAGACCCACACGTGTTTTTCCTCCATGACACGAGCAGATCACAGACATTTGCTTCCCCAGTGACTGAGCTGAACATGACCCTCACTTTCTGGAGCTTTCTGTCATGTTATAACCTCATCAGAAACATGCCTCAAGACTAATCTTCTCTCCCAGGCCCGACTCAAACTCTCTTTGTAGTTAATAGTACAAGCCTGTACAAGGCTCCGCCCACAAGTCTACGCCACCCAAGCTCCTGTGTGCTGTTTTTGTAAATGTATAAAAGGATGATTCAAAACAATATAAGTTCAGAACCTGATGTGAAGTGTATCCCTTTCATTAGTGCTGATTGTCTTGTGATAGTGCTCTTTGGGGGTAGTAACTTAGCACAGAGAGCAAAGGGAGGACTGTCAAAAACTGAACTAAACACATTAAACATTCTAATGTTTGCAGCAGTATTTTCAAAATAAGAGAAGGGAACATTGTGATTTAAATATGAAATACACGTCTCCTCGTGTTAAGTTGTGCTAAAATGTCTCGTTTTCTTTGAAGCTGCAGAATGAGACTCGAGGTAAATCCAGTAAACATGAGCGTTAAGTTCTGTGTGCAGCTCTCACCTGAACACCAAACCGCTCCATTGTACCAGTGTTGCGCTCCGTATCTTTTAAACCTTGACTGACAGTGAGGTTGAAAGTGTGTCTGAACGTTCGTTTGTGTCGTTGCAGTGGGACGGTCGTGCGTCTGTGGAGCGAGGACGGACCTGAGGCGAACGTCGTGGGTCTGGACCAAAATGGCTTCCTCCAGGTGCACTGCCCCGAGCGCGGTCTGCTCTCGCTCGAGCCCGACGGAAACTCCTTTGACATGCTCAAAAACCTGCTGGTCCAGAAGCACCACTGACCACGCCCCCCCAGAGACTGACCACGCCCCCCCCGAGACTGCCCACGCCCCCAGAGACTGACCACGCCCCCCAGAGACTGACCACGCCCCCAGAGACTGACCACACACCCCAGAGACTCGGGAGAGGCGAGAGGCCACGCCCACTGGACTCTGTATTCCAGGTGTTTTGCTCAGCGGCAGGACCCGACCGTCTGTATGATTCATAGTTTATTTTTCTATCTGATCAGAACTCAAAGGAAATGACAGATTTGTATTTAAAGCTGCACTATGAATCTTTTCTGGAGGAGGGATCGGCGACTCTCTCGTCCTGTGTTGTGGAAATGATCTGTGAAATAACACAAAACATACACGAAATCTGTTGGTTTATTCTGTTTGTCTGTAGTGGGACGGTGTGTTTCTGTTGCAGTTTCTGTTGCAGTGAGCTCGAAGCAATGGGGAAACAACACTTAACAAATTGTCTGAGGTTAGAAACTGTCTGAGGTTAGGGCTAATCTTAACCCCTCTCCAGGTACAGTTTACATTTAGGTCAGTTTGTCTGTTTGGCCTTCAGAGCTCAGGGACATTCGTGTTTGAGTACAGGTCAGGATGATCAAACAAAGGCACCTGTAGCCTTCCTGTGAGACTAAAGGGTTAGACAAAGAAAAGTGTGGCCTTCAACACTTATTAGAGTGAAATAAAGACAAAGAAGTGGTGAAACAACGCACAATACTAAAGTTTTCCACCACAACCACTGGAGATGTTACTGCTTTTCCTGGAATGTTCAACAGTCCAAATCCTCCAGCTGAAGTAGTCCTGACCAAGACTAGACTTAAGGTCTGGAGGTGGGAGCAGTGGGCACTGGGGTCTCCACATTTAAGACCATAAAGTCTTTAAACCAGTCTGACATTAAACCTCTCGGTCTTCAAGTAGGTGGGTTAGGACCTGCACCAAGATGGCGTGACTAATCTTGGTGGAGATCTGTGGGTGTGGTCCTCTGGGTGGAGGTCTGTGAGTGTGGTCCTCTGGGTGGAGGTCTGTGAGTGTGGTCCTCTGGGTGGAGGTCTGTGGGTGTGGTCCTCTGGGTGGAGGTCTGTGGGTGTGGTCCTCTGGGTGGAGGTCTGTGGGTGTGGTCCTCTGGGTGGAGGTCTGCAGAAGTGACTGTTGTATTTTACAGTCATTGAACATTTCCTTTTTATAAACAGAGTGTATAACAAATATGAAATATTAATATGTTAAAATGATGTATATTTGTTCATATGAGAGTTATTGATTGATTTTCATCATATTGTTTATTTGTCAGTAAAATAATTTGGAACATGTCTGAAGGGCTTTGTAAGAGCTGAGGTGGAAATAAAGAAACAGAAAATATGTTTTGTGTCTGGAAGTTGTGAAAATGCTTCTAAACTCTTGACGGTGAAGGATTAGGAGGCTCTGCAGAAAGTCGGTGAGGAAGAACTTTGGACCAAACTGTTTTTAAGTTGGTGCAGACAGGGGCCGATCTTTGCTGCTTGAGGCTGTATAGTTTTTATTTTATTTTATTTTATTTACAAATTAAAATATACACAAATGAATAAAAGGAACAATAGTCGTGGAAGTTTTCACTCAAATTAAATCACGTTTCCTTCTTTTGAACTCATATATAAATATGAATATAAACACATGATATATTTAAATTAGTGAATATTTACTTTCATTTACTTTGACTTCAATATTGTGTAAGATGCATTAGTCCAGGTTGGTGCTGTCGTCTGGGGGCCCCTTTAAAAACACTTAGTAGTGTTCTATCTGAACAGGTCTACTTCAGCATGTCCCCCGAGGGCCCCCTCCCTGAAGGCCCCCTCCCTGAAGGCCTCTCCCCCAGTGTAACCTTCCAGTCTCTTGTCTCCTCTGTCTATGACACAGAGGAGACAAGAGACGACCAAAGGGACATTGTCCATACACTGTATTAAAGAAAATGTAAAAGCCCTGACTCTGACCTTAACCTTGACCCTGACCTTAACCTTGACCCTGACCTTGACCCTAACCCTAAGGGACAGAGCGGACTGGAGAGGACATTGTACCATGTATGTGTACATGTGTGTGAGCGAGCATTTTTTATATTATTATTGTTTATTATTATTATTATTACTATTATTATTATATATCCCCTGTGCCATTGAGCCTTACATTTGTGAGTGTTTGTGGGGGGAATCAGCCGTGCCTCTGACTCTGGGGCGTGGGGGGGTAGGGGGTCGACACGAGAAATTAGGCTGAAAAGAGCTCGTCTGAACTTCTTATTCAGCGTCAGCGTCACTTCCTGTTTTTTATCTTATCTTTTATCTCTGTGGTTTTGGCCAAGTCACGAAAAATGAAGAAATATTTAAAGATGAGACCGAGGAAAGAGAAAACATGTTCAAAAGTACAAATAAAATGAAGCATTGAGCAGAGACACAAGTTTGTGTTGCAATATTAACTCTAAAGCTGAGGCAGAACAAATATTCTACATGTGTTTTACAAATATGGTGACATTTTTATTTGAATTAATTTGAATTTGAATCTGTGTTTTTATTTAAAGTTTTATGGGTTAGAATAAACGTGACTGTGAGCTTTGGGAGGGAGTGTGCTGCTGTTGAGCTGTTCAGATTAAGTCCCTTTCTCATGGACTCTAATTTAGATGACCTTTTATTTGTGAAAGTTGCTTAAACGAAAACTTACTGACCAACTGAGGTGACATACCAGGGTTCACATGCTGTAGGAAAAACAGAACTAAAGGCCGAGGGGGGGGGGGGGGTCTAATCTACATACGAGAGCACGATGTGGACCTGAATGTCTTTGGTTCACTTTATACCCCCCATCACTCGAAGCCAACTTTTACATTGAACTTAGGAGTATTTTGTATATAATAATGAATGTATAATATTTGATGATTTTAATATTAATTGGATGAACAATGGTGCAAAATCTAAGTTGACAACAATTATGATAAAATATCAGTTCAAGCAACTTAAACAAATACCCACTTGAATGACTAAAAATAGTAAAACTGTCATTGATTTTAAGTCACGAACTACGGTGGCCGACGGGGGCCAAAAGCACTGCAACAGCTCAATGCGTCTCATTTAGAGAAAACAATTTCAAGTACAGAAACGATGCAAATTCACAGGGTCAAACACAAGTTTAAATGAGGTACAAACAAAATACGTGGTGCAGATGAAAAAAACGCGCTGCAAGAAACAAAGACAAATGCATCATCATCAAATGCGCTGCAAATAGAGAAACGATGCAAAGCGCGAAACGATGAAAACCAAGAAAACACCTGCAAAAGAAAAACGCTGCATAAAGAGTCGCCACAACGGAAGTGCTCCAAACCTGCAGGGGGCGCTCAGTGTAACAGCTCAATGGAGAGACACACCGGCTGGACAGAGAGAAAGGATCTGCCTTTGAGAGACAGAAAACAGCTGACTGACGATAAACTACAGCGGGGACTAATGATTGTTACGGTAATGTGGCTTTTATTTGATTATATTCATCTACTGTGTTACGGTCATAACCCACAAAACTGTCAAATAAGTTTGTTTTAAACTGTGTTAACTGTGTGAACCTCGGAGCTTTGAGCTAAAAGTTTAGCTACTGATTTGGAGCTAACGCGATGAAAAGTCCACTCAAACTTTCATATTTGGACAGAAAGCGTCGTTGCCCTGCAAATAAGGGCCATTTCTGGGTCTTTGCCTGGAACGATGGACCAAGCTGAGAGAGACTTTAGTGCAGCGGTTTTCAATAGGTGAGGCTTGCCTCCCCTGGGAAGCGCCAAAGAGCCACTGGGAAGGCGTGACACACGCGGACTAAGGCTCGGACTAGACAAGGACTAAACCAGAACTGAATCAGGACTGAGTGTGGGTGACCGCGGGCAAAAGGACTGGCGCAGAGCTCCACGCCCCACGGCGCTAAAGCAGCTGTCGTCTGATCGTGCTTTGCGGACACCTCCATGGTCTCGCGGTTTCTCTCTCTCTCTCAAGTCCAAGATTAGACCTGGTCTAGTCCTGGTCTAGTCCGGGCCTTCACAGTCAATAATTAATTAAATATTTTTGGCAAATAATAATATCAGAGGTAGTTGATGTATTCTGAAGGGATCCTTGATTGGTGACTGTAAGGATTTTTTTCTTTTTTTGACTATTACTTAAACCCAATACATCCAAGCAAGTACAGTAGTAAACTACTACTAACAGAGAAAACGGTAAAGAGAAAACTATTTCAAATGTTTTATATTCATTTTCTTTTCTCATCTGCAGACTCCTGTATGAGGACACAACTTACTGCTGGGGCCACAGAACTGTTGGCTGATGAGACACTCATGATTCATGAAATGGGTCAAATGCAGATGACAAAGTAAAGCCCACACTGCACTGGAGGTGCTGAACCAGACTCCTGCCACAGATTAGGTATGGTGCATGTTGCATTGAAAACTCCAGTATTAATAAGGGCTGCAAATGAATCATGCTCATGTTGAAATCATGATTCAAAAAGTAAAAAATGCATTTCTCAAATGTGTGGGTTTCTTCTATTAACTTAGCTGTTTCAATTTATATATTTTCCATTTTCCTGTAATCATTTTGTAGTTTTCGTAATGTGTGTGTCATTACTGGTTTTCCCTCTGCAGGACCTGACTTTGAACCTATCAGACATAAGGCCCATTCTGCTCTTCCTCCTCCAGAAGATGAGAGATACATTAGACTGAGTGGCCCAAGTACATTGGTTCATGTCTTCACTGTCCATGTCCAGACTCACTGAGGAGGAGGTCGTCCAGACTGCAGCACATCTGTAGGGTCTCTGGTTGCATCAGGCCTTCCTCCTGCTGTCTCTAATGTGTGTTAATAGTGATGTGTCCTTAAAGTTTAGGTTTAACTTCTAATTTCTTGCACAAGTAAAACAGTAAAATGGTGGTTCCTTTTCATCTTAGCTGAGGAGCACCTAAACAACTTCATCACTGAGGCAGTGAACCATGATAAATGTGCCCTTATATGATATTACAAGTTTGAAAGTTTGAGTGGACTTTTCATCGCGTTAGCTCCAAATTAGTAGCTAAACTTTTAGCTCAAAGCTCCGAGGTTCACACAGTTAACACAGTTTAAAACAAACTTATTTGACAGTTTTGTGGGTTATGACCGTAACACAGTAGATGGATATAATCAAATAAAAGCCACATTACCGTAACAATCATTAGTCCCCGCTGTAGTTTATCGTCAGTCAGCTGTTTTCTGTCTCTCAAAGGCAGATCCTTTCTCTCTGTCCAGCCGGTGTGTCTCTCCATTGAGCTGTTACACTGAGCGCCCCCTGCAGGTTTGGAGCACTTCCGTTGTGGCGACTCTTTATGCAGTGTTTTTATTTTGCAGGTGTTTTCTTGGTTTTCATCGTTTCGCGCTTTGCATCGTTTCTCTATTTGCAGCGCATTTGATGATGATGCATTTGTCTTTGTTTCTTGCAGCGCGTTTTTTTCATCTGCACCACGTATTTTGTTTGTACCTCATTTAAACTTGTGTTTGACCCTGTGAATTTGCATCGTTTCTGTACTTGAAATTGTTTTCTCTAAATGAGACGCATTGAGCTGTTGCAGTGCTTTTGGCCCCCGTCGGCCACTGTAACGAACAGACATGAAAGAGTAATAAAAACATACAATTTAATTTCTGGCCTTTCTGATCACAGTTTGATTTTGGCAGTGAGAAAACTGTCCAAAAAACGCTTTATCCACCATAACAATGTGGGCGAATCAAAAATAACCAAGGCAATTCCAAAATCAAAACTGGATCATTTTGAATCAGAACTTACAAACCTCAAATGGGATTTAGTTACTCATGGTGCTCATGGTGCTCGTGGTGCTCGTGATGATCGTGGTGATCGTGGTGATTGTGGTGCTCGTGGTGCTCGTGGTGATCGTGGTGCTCGTGGTGATTGTGGTGCTTGTGGTGCTCGTGATGATCGTGGTGATTGTGGTGCTCGTGATGATTGTGGTGATTGTGGTGATTGTGGTGCTCGTGGTGATCGTGGTGATTGTGGTGCTTGTGGTGATCGTGGTGCTCGTGGTGAATCGTGGTGATGTGGTGATCGTGGTGATTGTGGTGTGTGTGGTGATTGTGGTGATTGTGGTGCTCGTGGTGATTGTGGTGATCGTGGTGATCGTGGTGCTCGTGGTGCTCGTGGTGATCGTGGTGATCGTGGTGATTGTGGTGCTTGTGGTGCTCGTGGTGATCGTGGTGATCGTGGTGATCGTGGTGATCGTGGTGATTTGTGGTGCTCGTGGTGATTGTGGTGCTCGTGGTGATTGTGGTGCTCGTGGTGATCGTGGTGCTCGTGGTGATTGTGGTGCTCGTGGTGATTGTGGTGCTCGTGGTGCTCGTGGTGCTCGTGGTGATTGTGGTGCTCGTGGTGATCGTGGTGATCGTGTGGTGCTCGTGGTGCTCGTGGTGATCGTGTGGCTGGTGATCGTGGTGATGGTGCTCGTGGTGATTGTGGTGCTCGTGGTGATTGTGGTGCTCGTGGTGATCGTGGTGATTGTGGTGCTCGTGGTGATCGTGGTGATTGTGGTGCTCGTGGTGCTTGTGGTGCTCGTGGTGCTCGTGGTGCTCGTGGTGATCGTGATGATTGTGGTGCTCATGGTGATTGTGGTGTCGTGGTGATTGTGGTGCTCATGGTGATTGTGGTGATCGTGGTGATCGTGGTGATCGTGGTGCTCGTGGTGCTCATGTGGTGATCGTGGTGATCGTGGTGCTCGTGGTGCTCGTGGTGATCGTGGTGATTGTGGTGCTCGTGGTGATTGTGGTGCTCGTGGTGATCGTGGTGATCGTGGTGATTGTGGTGCTCGTGGTGTGGTGATCGTGGTGATCGTGGTGATGTGGTTGTGGTGCTCGTGGTGATGTGATTGTGGTGTCGTGATGGTGTCGTGGTGATCGTGGTGATTCGTGGTGCTCATGGTGATCGTGGTGATGTGGTGCTCGTGGTGATCGTGGTGATCGTGGTGATGTGGTGATTGGTGGTGATTCGTGGTGCTCGTGGTGTCGTGGTGCTCGTGGTGATCGTGGTGCTCGTGTGGTGCTCGTGGTGATCGTGGTGATTGTGGTGCTCATCGTGGTGCTGTGTCGTGTGATCGTGGTGATCGTGTGGTGATTGTGATCGTGGTGATCGTGGTGATCGTGGGTGCTCGTGGTGATCGTGGTGATCGTGGTGATCGTGGTGTGTGGTGATGTGGTGGTGATCGTGGTGCTCGTGGTGCGTCGTGGTGGTGCTCGTGGTGATCGTGGTGATCGTGGTGATCGTGGTGCTCGTGGTGCTCGTGGTGATCGTGGTGATCGTGGTGCTCGTGGTGATCGTGGTGATCGTGGTGCTCGTGGTGCTCGTGGTGATCGTGGTGATCGTGGTGATCGTGGTGATCGTGGTGCTCGTGGTGCTCGTGGTGATCGTGGTGATCGTGGTGCTCGTGGTGATTGTGGTGATCGTGGTGCTCGTGGTGATCGTGGTGATCGTGGTGTCGTGGTGTGGTGCTCGTGGTGATTCGTGATCGTGGGTGATCGTGGTGATCGTGGTGATCGTGGTGGTGGTGATCGTGGTGATCGTGGTGATCGTGGTGAATCGTGGTGATCGTGATGATCGTGGTGATCGTGGTGTGGTGTCGTGGTGATCGTGGTGATCGTGGTGATCGTGGTGCTCGTGGTGATCGTGGTGATCGTGGTGATCGTGGTGATCGTGGTGATCGTGGGTCGTGGTGCTCGTGGTGCTCGTGATGATCGTGGTGATCGTGGTGATCGTGGTGATCGTGGTGCTCGTGGTGCTCGTGGTGGTGGATGATCGTGGTGATCGTGGTGCGTGGGCTCGTGGTGGTGATCGTGGTGATCGTGGTGATCGTGGTGATCGTGGTGATCGTGGTGATCGATGTGGTGATCGTGGTGATCGTGTGCTGTGGTGCTCGTGTGATGGTGATCGTGGTGATCGTGGTGCTCGTGGTGCTGTGTGATGATCGTGTCGTGGTGATCGTGGTGATCGTGGTGATCGTGGTGATCGTGGTGTGTGGTGATGGTGATCGTGGTGCTCGTGGTGTGATTGTGGTGATCGTGGTGACTCGTGGTGACGTGGTGATTGTGGTGATCGTGGTGCTCGTGGTGCGTGGTGATCGTGATGTGTGGTGCTCGTGGTGATCGTGGTGATCGTGGTGATCGTGGTGCTCGTGGTGCTCGTGGTGATCGTGGTGATGCGTGGTGATCGTGGTGATCGTGGTGCTCGTGGTGCTCGTGGTGCTCGTGGTGATCGTGGTGATCGTGGTGCTCGTGGTGATCGTGGTGATCGTGGTGCTCGTGGTGATCGTGATGATCGTGGTGATCGTGGTGCTCGTGGTGCTCGTGGTGATCGTGGTGATCGTGGTGATCGTGGTGATCGTGGTGATCGTGGTGATCGTGGTGATCGTGGTGATCGTGGTGATCGTGATGATCGTGGTGATCGTGGTGATCGTGGTGATCGTGGTGATCGTGGTGCTCGTGGTGATCGTGGTGATCGTGGTGATCGTGGTGCTCGTGGTGCTTCGTGGTGCTCTCGTGGTGATCGTGGTGATCGTGGTGATCGTGGTGATCTCGTGGTGATCGTGGTGATCGTGTGATCTCATGATGATCGTGGTGATCGTGGTGATCGTGGTGCTCGTGGTGCTCGTGATGATCGTGGTGATCGTGGTGATCGTGGTGATCGTGGTGATCGTGGTGATCGTGGTCGTGATCGTGTGATCGTGGTGATCGTGGTGATCGTGGTGATCGTGGTGCTCGTGGTGATCGTGGTGATCGTGGTGATCGTGGTGTGGTGATCGTGATGATCGTGGTGGTGATCGTGGTGCTCGTGTGTCGTGGTGATCGTGGTGATCGTGGTGATCGTGGTGCTCGGTGATGATCGTGTGATCGTGGTGATCGTGGTGATCGTGGTGATCGTGGTGATCGTGGTGATCGTGGTGATCGTGGTGATCGTGATCGTGGTGATCGTGTGATCGTGATCGTGGTGATCGTGGTGCTCGTGTGATGATCGTGGTGATCGTGGTGATCGTGGTGATCGTGGTGATCGTGTCGTGGGATCGTGGTGATCGTGGTGATCGTGGTGATCGTGGTGATCGTGGTGATCGTGGTGATCGTGTGTCGTGGGTGCTCGTGTGATCGTGTGATCGTGGTGATCGTGGTGATCGTGATGATCGTGGTGATCGTGGTGATCGTGGTGCTCGTGGTGTTCCTGTGTTCAGGACTCGGGCTCAGACTGTGGAACTGTTTACCAGCTGATTTAAAATTAAAACCAATAGCTCATTTAAAAGTAAATCCAAATTATTGTATGTTTCCAGACAAAAATGCGCTCACTGAAAATGTCCTGTGTATTTCTTATCTGTGTGTAGCTTATGTGTCTAGTTTGTTTTCATGCATGTATTTTATATTTTTTTATATGGAGGTGTTGAAAACTGGTATTTGTGTTAAAACACCCAAAGCATCTGGCTCGTCTAATGTGAAATTTATTTATATATTTTTTAAATGTATATTTTGTCTCTTATATTTACAGTTAGGGTTAGGTTTTTTTTTTTTTTTTTTTTTATAAATTTATTTGCAACTCACATACATTACAAAGGCGACCACCCTCCAACCAGGTCGGCCAACCCCTCGATGAATCACCTCCTGATCTGAACGCTCCCCGTCCCTGATATATATGTACATGTGCACACATTCAGACACACACATACACACACCTGCCTGCACAGGAATGTACACACACATCCACACTCACACACATTCACACACTCACACACATGAACCCACACTCGTCCATTGTTGACTTGTGATGCATCAAAAGTATCAGGGAGGTGGACCAGGGAGGGAAGCCAGAACAGAGGGGAGGCCCTGAGGGGACGGTGGAGCACGAGGCTGGGCCCTTGTAGTTGGACCCCCACACTCAACAACCGGGCGACAGCAGAGAGCCCAGCCGCTGGGGACCCCGGGCAGATAAATGTCATGCTGTGTATTAAAGTTATATTTTATAAAGCCTGTTTCTTTATCAAATAAAGTGGTGTGTGAGTGTATGACATCGTGTGTGTTTGTACAGGTGTATGTGAGTGTGTATGAATGTGTGTATGAGTGTGTGTGTATGAGTGTGTGTGTATGAGTGTGTGTGTGTATGAGTGTGTGTGTGTGTGTATGTATTAGTGTGTGTGAATGAGTGTGTATGAGTGTGTGTGTATGAGTGTGTGTGTGTGTGTGTGTGTGTTGTGTTTGTGTGCGTAAGTGCACATGTGTATGTGTATGTACTCTCATGACATCATCATGTATTTAAATTTTGAGCATAAAGTGTTTGGCTGCCAGACAAAAGGAACAAGGTGATGAATGATCAAATATGTTAAATCATAGAAATTACATTTGTAGAAAATCAAGGACAGTGGACCAGGTTGACCAGGGTGGGGTGGACCAGGGTGACGGTGGACCAGAGTGGCGGTGGACCAGGGTGACGGTGGACCAGAGTGGCGGTGGACCAGGGTGGCGGCAGGGTGACCAGAGTGGCGGTGGACCAGGGTGGCGGTGGACCGGTGGGTGCGGGTGTGGCAGGGTGGACCAGGGTGGTGGCGGTGGACCAGGGTGACGGTGGACCAGGGTGGCGGTGGGACCAGGGTGGCAGTGGACCAGGGTGGCAGGTGGCGGTGGAACCAGGGTGGACCACGGTGGACCAGGGTGGACCAGGGTTGGTGGCGGTGTGGCCAGGTTGACCAGGGTGACAGTGGACCAGGGTGACCAGGGTGATGGTGGACCGGGTGGCGGTGGATGACCAGGGTGACCAGGGTGTGGTGGAACCAGGGTGGCGGTGGACCAGGGTGGGGTGGTGGACCAGGGTGGGCGGCGGGACCAGCGGTGACCAGGGTGACGGTGGACCAGGGTGGCGGTGGCGGGTCGGTGGACCAGGGTGGCGGTGGACCAGGGGTGGGACCAGGGGCGGTGGACCAGGTGGCGGTGGCAGGGTGACGGTGGACCAGGGTGCGGTAGGTGACGGTGGACCAGGGTGGCGGTGGACCAGGGTGGCGGTGGACCGGTGGACCAGGGTGACCGGTGACCAGGCGGTGGCGGTGGACCAGGGTGGCGGTGGACCAGGGTGGCGGTGGACCAGGGTGACCAGGGTGGCGGTGGACCAGGGTGGCGGTGGACCAGGGTGGAGGGTGGACAGGGTGAACCAGGGTGACCAGGGTGACGGGTGGTGGACCCAGGGTGGTGGTGGACCAGGTTGACCAGGGTGACGGTGGACCAGGGTGGCGGTGGACCAGGGTGACCAGGGTGGCGGTGGACCCAGGGTGAACAGGTGGGTGAGGGTGGTGGACCAGGGTGGCGGTGGACCAGGGTGGACCAGGGTGGCGGTGGACCAGGGTGACCAGGGTGACGGTGGAACCAGGGTGCGGTGGACCAGGGTGGGCGGTGGACCAGGGTGGCGGTGGACCAGGGTGGCGGTGGACCAGGTGACCGGGTGGACCAGGGTGGCGGTGGACCAGGGTGGCGGTGAAGGTGGCGGTGGACCAGGGGACCAGGGTGACAGTGGACCAGGTGGACCAGGGTGATGGTGGACCAGGGTGGCGGTGGACCAGGGTGACCAGGGTGATGGTGGACCAGGGTGGCGGTGGACCAAGGGTGGGGTGGACCAGGGTGGACCAGGGTGACCAGGGTGGGTGAGGATGGCGGTGGACCAGGGTGGACCGGTGGACCGGGTGACCAGGGTGATGGTGGACCAGGGTGGTGGTGGACCAGGTTGACCAGGTGACGTGGACCAGGGTGGACGGTGGACCAGGGTGACCAGGGTGGACCGGTGGACCAGGGTGACCAGGGTGGGGTGATGGTGGACCAGGGTGGCGGTGGACCAGGGTGACCGGTGGACCGGTGGACCGGGTGGACCAGGGTGGCGGTGGACCAGGTGACGGTGGACCAGGGTGGCGGTGGACCAGGGTGGCGGGTGACCAGGTGGACCAGGTGGACCAGGTGGACCAGGGTGGGTGGACCAGGGTGGCGGTGGGACCAGGGTGACCAGGGACGGTGGACCAGACCAGGTGGCGGTGGACCAGGGTGGTGGTGGACCAGGGTGGCGG